TTCAGTTTTTGTCCAGCATTCATTTCCTCTTCTAGTAACAACTCATTTACTTTTTTTCTTTAATGAATGTGTGTAGCAGCTTTATTTGTTGTTTTCTTATTGAAGAATAATAGACATACAATATTTTATTAGTTTCAGGTATACAACATAGTGATTCAACAGTTACATACATCATGAAATGCTCACCATCTTAAGTATAGTTCCCATCTGTAACCATACAAAGAGTTATCACAACATTATTGACTATTCGCCATATGCTGTCACTTCTTTTTGAGGAATCACTTCCCCCACTGCGTTCTGAGCAAGTCTAGATGCTTTTTTTCTCCACAGGTGCCAGCAGGCTTTGTAAAGCTATCTTCATGGCAGCATCTGAGTTTCTGTCTCACTGTACCTTCACTTCTAAGCACTGTTATTGTTCAAAGTTGACATTTGAATGGATAAAAAAATCTCACTTTTAATATTTGTTTTTTGATATATAATTATTAGTAGCTTAAATCTTTTCTTTTGTGAATTATCTATTTACATCTGTAAGGAAAAGCTTAATTAAGTAATTGACTTAAAAACCTTACTGAGTTTAAAGAACGAAAAAGAATTAAAGAACATCTTAATTACTTTCTCTTATTTACCTAGTTGTATGTTTGGTGATTTAAAGCTAACTCCACATCCTGAAAGCAATGTGGGATTCAGTCTTTAAAATTGACAACTTTTATAACTTAAAATTATTTCTTCCTATTTGTGTATGTCCCTTTTCCACATTCCCAAGTGTGGGCTGTTGTTATGTTGTGGATCATGACATATTATTTGATAAAACTACAGGGAGGAGAGGCTTTTCCTAAAGAGCAGCAGCCTGTAGGGTACATTGCATTTCTGATAGTTTTCCACCTGGAAAGAGGAAGTGAGAGGCAGCGTCAGTCATCCCAGGTTCTCTGTTGAATGCCCCAGAGTCCTGGAGCATTTGCTGGCAAGCTGTATAGGAGGGATTTTTCTGGTCTTAATCATTTTACTAGAATGCTGTTACTGAGTAAACTAAGCAATGGGTTATAATAATGTATGATAAACACTGAGTAATGACTCTCTGAGTGCTCTTAGCAGTAGTCACAATGGAAGTTCACCTGGGAGGGCCCTTTAAGTGAGCATTTGGTGATGGCGTTCTTCATTTCAGATGCCAACTGGCCAGGTGGAGTCTAATTGGTTGCTACCTTTTCCCCCTAGATTTCTCACGTCTTTGCTTGTTGCAGACTAATTAAGTTTTCTTTAATGTCTCTTGAAATAAACATTTGGCAATAGCATTCTAGCGTTTTCCCTGTTGTTTTCCTCATTTCTATAGTACAGCACTCATGGAATTTAAAGCATAATACCATTGATCAGGGGTTTGTGTGTATATGTGATGGGGTATTTTTTTGGGGATGCGAAGGGTTAAACAAGGGCGTTCGTTATTATTATTGGTTTTATGTATCAATGTCCAGTCTAGGACACTGATAAAATCCTAGGGTGCATTTCTAGTGTGTAAAAATCTTCTGATAATGTTTTCAGTACTTGCCCTTCAGGTCATGTTTAGTAAATTGACATTCACCACCAGATTCTTTAGCACGTATATTTTAAATAAAAACTCTTGCTTAATCTATTTGTCATCTGCTGCTGTCTGTGTCTTCAAAATAAAATCTGCTGCTTTTGGAAATGAAGCTGTGTACTAAGGCATTTTGCAGTTTGCTAGGTAACTACATCTCTCTTGACCTCTGGAAGAAAAGAGATTTTGTTGATGTTGTTTAAGCAAATGTCTGTTATCTGAGATAGCAGCATAGTGCTGACCTAATCATAATTAGAAAAGGGAAGGTTTTTTTTTCCTAAGGAGTGCTACGTTATGTTAAATTGTGTCCTTTGGGAACGGGACATATAACTACAGCAGAGGCTCACCATGGGAGGGATTATCTAAGGAGCTTTAAAGGACCAGCATTCTGTTTAATAAATATGGTGGATACTAGGAGGCTTCCCTTATCATCAACTTTATTGTCTAAGGCTTTTCAGAAGAGCATGGATAATTTTCTGGAGAACATTTGTCTTTCTTATTGCAGAAGGCATCAGTATGAAACCAAGAATTCTTGGATTCAGGAGAAAATGTAAAGCAGCCCTTCCCTGTTCAGGTAGCACTAACTTTCCCCTATGGGAACATTGCACTGGAGAAGGTAGTTACAAAGTAAAATTTTAACTATGAAACTTAGGGTGGTGCGATTATTTTTCTTTTCCTTTTTATGCAACTTTGTGGTTAATTTTAGGATGATGCTTGATGTTATTTACTATGCAAACACAAACTCCAAAAAAATACATTATTTTTCCTATTAAGGGGAAAAAGAAGCTTTCCAAAGCAGGTTTGGTGATGGTCACTCACTATAATCTAAATATTCTGATTTTCTTTCTTTTCTTTTGATATAAGTTATGTGAAGTAAAACATTTGAATAAAGGTTTTAAACTCTGATCTAAAGCCTTTTAGAGATACATTGGCTGAGTTGATTTTAGTTAATAAATACTAATGCTATTATATAAGATAGCACTAAGCATATTATAGACCCATATTTAGGTATTTGCTCTTAGGAATTACCTCATCTGAATCCATCATTTCATAGCTAAGGAAAGCAATGTTCAAAGACATTTGATCATATACTTGAAATAAAATTCAGGTGCCTTAAGAAAATACTAATGCTATTATTAAGCAGAATCTTGCATTAGATTATTTGTTTTATCCCTGGCCTCATAATAACCAGCAACTCAGGCCTGCCCTGGTAAGAGTCTTTGGGACATAATTACCTGGATATATTGCATATACTTCAAACTCACCCAAAGTAGTACTGATTTTCTTGGCCCTGTAAATGCTTCTGGGATTCTGTTGTCATTTAAACTGAAAATCCAGAATATATCCTGATTTTTTCCTCACTTTTTCCCCTCTATTCAGTCTGTCTTCAAGTCTTTGGGCTCTTTCTTTGAAATATTCCTGACCAATGCATTTCCTTTTTGTGTTGCTAAAATCCATTCTGCAGCACTCAGTACCAGTACCAGGTGCCTTAACTGATCAGTTGTCTTCTAACTGCTTTCTCCATTTCTGTTTTCTTCCTCTTACAGTCAGCCCTGCATAAGCTTTCAGATTAAGTTTCCCATACTTAAATTTCATATTTTGACTCCTCTGCTCAAGACCCTGGAATGGGTCACTGCTCATCACTGTCAGTGAGGTTCCAACTGTATTACTTCACATTCTGTATCCAAGGTTTTTCTAATCTCTTCTCTCTTTAATCTTGTATCTCACTATGAACAGTTACCAGCTTGTGGGTGGTGAGCTCTAAACATTCTTTTACGATGGGTTGTTTGGAAGTTGAAATTAATTTTTTATGTGGAAACAATTCTTTAAAACCTGTGGTTGAGTTCTTAAGCTATAACCCAAAGGTTTGTGTACTGTGATGTAGTTGATTTCTGGGCTCTGGGAGCCAGAAGCCATGTTGAATAGGGAGGCAGGGGAAGGATGACTTTCTCCTTTTCTAAGTACAGGGTCATCTAGCACAAGGCATAACTTATAGTGAATTTTTTAGTGTAAAGGTAGTCTTTAGCATTTGATTTCTGTTAACTGTCTTCCAAATCCTAGTGTTCTCCCCATACTCATAGACACAGAGAGCTATCCCAGACTAAATAATGCATTAATCAATTCAGTAATTACATTATTTGCCTATTAAAATAACAATAGTTGCTTTTTATTGAACACTTAAGATTTTTCTAACCTTATAATAATCTTGCATGGTACAGTAAAGTCACCTCCACTTAATAGATGAATATATTGAGGCAGGGTGATGTTTAAGCATTATAACTATGGATTTATAAACACAACACTTAAAAATAACCTGAATATATTTGTAAATCACTTAAAAGAGTAAGTCCTGGATACTTGTTCAAGAAATATGCAGTTAACTTCCATCCTTTCCCTACTTCATTTCCTCCCTTGACACACACAAGCATCTTTGGGACACTGTTCCTTCTTTTCAAGATGGTACAGCTTCAAGGTTGATGGTTTCCTTTGCTGTGCAAAGCTTTTTAGTTTGATGTGGTCCTACTTGTTTACTTTCTCTTTTGGTGTCAGACCCCACAAAAATCATTGCTAAGACTGCTATCAAGGAGTTTACCACCTATGTTTTCTTTTAGGAGTTTTATGGTTTCAGGTCTTATATTCAAGTCTTTAATCTATTTTGAGTTGATGTTTGTGCATGGTGTAAGATAGTGGTCCTGTTCCATTGTTTTGCACATAGCTGTTCAGCTTTCCCACCACTACCTATTGGACATACCGTCCTTTCCCCAAGCTTCCATTCTGGTTGGGGGATGTACACAATAACCAAATCATTAAGTATGTGTTACTGTGTGGTACATCGGACCATAATTGCTATTGAGAAAAATACAGCAAGAAAGGAGAGATGAGGCATGCTGAGGTATTGCAGCTTTAAATGTGACAGCCCTGTGTTCAAGTGAGGAGGTGACATTTGATCAAGTTCCTGAAAAAAGACTTACTGAGTTACAGTCCTGTGATTTTGTGAAGGAAATTGAGCAAGTGAACTTGTCCTCACTGGTATATTTCAACTGTCTGTCATCATGTGTCAAAAATTTCTGTCTTCCTATTTTAAAATTTAATTGCAGCAGGAAATAAATTTATGTGGAGGGTGAGGAAGAGGATGCCATTTCTAGAGGTGGGGTACCCGGGAAAGGAAAGACCTAAGAGGGATGGTAGGAAGATACCCTCTCCTTAATTGCTAGGAGGAAGCTGTATGGAGTGAAATCAAGGGCCTTACGTCTATGAAGGTTGTTTCTGACAACATCAGTTGACAGTAGAATAATAGGTTTTATTTTGACAGAGCAAGATTATGGCATGGCCAGCTTTAATAAACATTCTTCAAGGCTCTGTGTCTGGGGAGCTTAAACCCTAATTCCTTGCGTTGTAGCACCCATGCTTTGTGCTTGTCTGTCTCTTGCAGTTTTGTAGGAAGCCAACCTCGGAGAGGCAGACGGGATGGCTAGCTCAGCCCGGGAGCACCTGCTTTTTGTGCGGCGTCGAAATCCGCAGATGCGCTACACACTGAGCCCAGAGAATCTCCAGAGCCTCGCAGCCCGGAGCTCCGTGCCAGAGAACATGACCCTCCAGAGGGCCAACAGCGACACGGACCTGGTGACTTCTGAGAGCCGCTCCAGCCTGACCGCCAGCATGTACGAGTACACGCTGGGACAAGCCCAGAACCTCATAATCTTCTGGGACATTAAAGAGGAGGTGGACCCGAGTGACTGGATAGGACTTTATCACATAGGTGAGTCGAATGAAATGAACTTGCCTGTGACTTAGCACATACATTTTAAATCTGATATTATTGTATTCTGCATTTTTTCTTGGAAAAAATTCACACATACAAATAAACATACGCAGATTCTGGGAACTTTTCTTTCTTCTTTGGGAGGGAAATAGTCAACGATCATAAATACCTTTGCTGATATGAATTTTATGGTTACATTTCTACTCTAATTAAATGCCAGAACCTGTAGGTTTTATAATATTTTCTTTTCAAAACTTCACATTGCTTTTACTCAGTAGTCTCATTTTGGAAAGAGGTGGCTATTAGCACTTCCTAATATATTTAGATATTTAGACTGATGAAAAATATGTTTAGATTCATATAACTGATATAGAAAATGTTCTATATTTTCTAAAGGTTGAATTTCATTAGGTACAACCTGAAGTATAACGTATTTATTTCAAAATTCCTGATGTTTCTTAGGCAGGTGAAGAAGGTGTCATATTTTAACAAATGGTTTAGAAAGGATTGCTGTTTGTTTTAGTAAAAGTGTTAAAGTTCTGTTTAGCTTTTTGTATCTCATATTCATCAGTGAGTGGATGATGAATAACACAGCCCAGGAAATAGAAATATACATTCTGTTTCATTTGAAAGCACAAATCAAAACCTACCAACCAGCCATAAAAAAAAAATCTTAAATCAAACATGACAATATAATCTAATATTGTATCATAATATTTTTTCTATTTATCCATTTTCTGGTTCACTAACTCCTTCCTTTTTCCTTTGTGTTCTATTGTCAGTCCCACCCAATGGATTCTTAAATTTCAGTTGTTTGACTTTTTATAGAATTTGCATTTCTTCCTTTTTTTATAATTGTATTTATCTTATGAGACTCCCTATGTGTTAACTCATCCAGGCTATGTTTTTGTTCAGTTCTTTGAACTGAACTGAATATAGCTGCTTTAAATACTCTGCTAAAACCAATATCGAGGCCACCTAAGGGGAAGTTTTTATTGTTTTTCTCTTGATCATGGGTCCCATTTTCCTGTTTCTTTGCCTATCTAGCAATTATTGATTTTACAGTGGACATTAAAAATTTCAAGTTATAGGAATCCTGAGTCTTGTGGAACAATTTTTATTTTAATGTTAATTTTTATTCTAGTAGATGAATTTATTTCCTTGAATTTGCTGGGGATGATTTTACACTTTGTTAGGATGGATCCCTGGAAAGCCCAGTGTGGTTTCCCCAGCACTTTTAACTTGATGAGCTTCCACGTCTAGTTTGGTCTCTCCTGTGGATTTTGTTGGGGCTTGATTGGGGCTTTGTTAGGTTAAGTCTGCAGTAGTCCTTCTAGGACTTTGTACTTATTCCTAAGTAATGGGACTTCTGATGTCTTAGCTGGATCCCTGGAATGTTAACCAGGTCTCTTCTCTGGCTGGGCTGTAACTCCCGTGTCCTCTAGCACTGCTTGACCTCTAACAACTCCATTGCACTCCCTGTAGCAGCTGCTCTCTAGAAAGCCTTGATAGTCTTGTCCTGCATGTGTGCAGTCCAGACGTTACTCAAAAACTTGTGGGGGATCCCTGTGTGCACCCCTCCACAGCTCTTTCCTTTACAGTGCCCTGTCTGGAGATTCCAGTCACTTCAGGAGACCCAGACTCAGCTCTGCCTTCCGGGCTTGTCAGGACTGCCGTGGACTCTAACTCGTTGCCAGCACTCAGGAAATCATCCCTTAACTGGGATCTGGATGGTCACAGTTACCTCTTCTCTTCTCACTGGGATTTTAGTCTTATGCTACCCATTGTGCAATGCCTGAAAAACACTGCCTCCTGGTTTTATAACTGTTTACATTAAACAACTATTTGGAACTAATTACTGTGATATGGCTTGAAGCAGAAGTTTCTCTGATGCTTTTAATTTTGGGTAGGCTATGTAAGAGGCTCCACTAATTTCCCTATCTAGCCATTTCCAGAGATGTTTCAATAAATAGTAAAAGATAGTTTGAGTCCCATGTGTTCGTCAGTCCTTTTTAATGTATTTTCCAATAGCTTTAGATCCCTGGCAGAGAGGAGAGGTGAAGAACTGGTGCCCCAGACCTCTCAAGGGGCTGGGATGAACATGGACCCTAGCACTTGTGAATAATACCATGTGAGGAGAACGAGGTACTTGGTGTTCAGGGACATGGGATTTGTTTTAACAAGTCTTCCACAATGAATGGCTTTAAAAGGGCCAGGTCCCAGCATCTAAGACATTAATTATGGCTCCTTTCTATAGTTGAAGGGACACAGCTGTGTTTAAAAGAAAGCTTGGCTTATCTAGGACCTTAGAATAAGTGAACAGAGACCTGGCTTTAAGCGGAGATAGCCCGTTCTCTCCTGGGGCTAAGATGAGCTGTTCTGGCCTATAAACTGGAGGCAACCTCAGCCCTGTGGAGGCTTTTCCAGCCCATGTAGAGAAGGATGGGTGGCAGCACTGTGGTTTTAAATGAGGGCTATTTCCTGGTCCCTTCCTTCCTATGAGGTCAGGGGTGAGCAGCAAGTCCTTGGTCTCTGGGCAGTTCAGCCCTCCCTGGACTCAGGAAAGGTCTAGACCTATACAGTAATCCTACTTGTGGGTAGTCTAGGGGTGGGTATGTGACTCCATTCTGGCCAGTGAGCTATAAGGGAAAGACTTTGAGGGAGCTTCCTTCTCTAAAGAAAAGCCAGGGCCCCATGAAGAGAGTCTTTAAACTTCTCTGTACTTGGGACTCTAGTGAAAGGATGTGAAACCTTGAGATGTTGAATCATGTAGCAACTGTAAGGCATCCGTGAAGAAGGCTGAGAGTGAAGAGTGATGGCCACAAAGTTAGCAGGAGCTTGGACTGGTGCTCCAGAGTTCTTGCTGTGTGTGAAAAAAAGGTCCCCTTCTTTGTTTAAGTCATCAGTAGTGAGGCTTTCTTGTACCAGCAGCTGCTCCTAACTAAGCTGCTGGGGTGTCTATAAGGATGAGAAAGAGAAAAGAAGGGGCACCAGCTGCTTTTAAAGGCAGGACAAGGAGGGAGTGGACTATTCTGTAGTTACCACGTCAGAGGGAGTGCTCGTGGCTGCTTTAATAAAGGTAAAAACCACTAAAAGAAGTAAAAAAAAGTTTGATAAAAACCTTGGAGAATTCAAATTACAAGCCATGTATATGTTTTCAAAAGTTTACTAGGACCAATAATGTGATGGGAAGAATCTTTCAAATTACTCATTTAATTAGTAATATGAAAATAAGCAAAACCATTTTCTTGGGTGCTATTCAGTGAGGGTAGGTGAGATGATACATTTGGAGAAGACCTAGGATAGGGAAAAGAATTTCAGTGTCCAGGTTGTGTCATAAATTTAAGGCTGTTGTGACTGAACAGGAATATGCATAATAAATTCTCTTTTGGGCTCCATGAAATAGATGTACTGAGAATCTAGGTTTTATAACAGTAGCACATATGTCAGGAATAGCTTCAGATTTCTGTACCTCTTGGTAGGAATAGCTGCTCCCCTTTGCTTGTGTCCTGAGAAGCCAGACTGTTTCCTAGCAACATCTAGTTTTATTTGCAGAACAGAGAGATGGTCTCTATAGAAATAAGTCCCGAAGGGGAAGGATTTGGGTGGAACACTGCTCTGGCAAGGTGTGGCTTACTGACATACACTGCATTGTAATTGTTTCTCTTGGCTTATATTTTCTTACTCTCTAGAAATGTGAATTTTGTTTTTTGTTGGCTAATGGGTAATAATGTTGTGCATTGTACAACTCACTCCAGATGACTTTTAACACTACAAATCTGAAGGGAAAATACATCCTCACAGATGAGCAAAATAAATCTTTAGACATTTAAGGTAGTTCACAGGTCCTACTGGGAACGCAAAGAAAAACTGAAAATATCAAAGCACCGTTTGAGGAAACTTTTGGTGTGAATACCATTCTCAAAACAGATGCTAATTATACGTTTTTCCCTAGAAAGTCTCATGTACACTCGGAGACTTCCAGAGATGATTTTAATGTAGCTGTATCCCTGAATCTTCAGATTACAATAATGAATACCTTACACATAGTTGTCAGAAATCAGTAGGTTTATAATTTATTGTTGGTCTCCAAAATTAAAATTGACCACTTACAAGTTGAACAGTGCTACTCACTGCCTCCTCCTAAATTCTCTAAATAAAAAAAGACAAAGGCTCATCTTGTGCAGAAACACTTAAAAGTACCCAACACAAATAGTTTTCTATGAAAAGTGAAATGGACACCATTTAAAGAGGAGGCAGAGCTTATTAAATTTGTGTCAGGCCCACTATCTAATTTCCCCTATCTTTTGTCTTGTGCTGATTTTTCTGGCCACTCAAAAGAAAAACACTTCTAAAGGTTTATTTTGTCATTCTACCTTTGCAGGCAACTTCAGGTACCTGAGCAGAGCTAGGAAAATGCACGTTATGAAAGAGGCGTAAACTGTGCTGCTGTACACCAGTGTTACTCAAAATGCTGGTTTGTTTCTCATCTATGACTAGATAAGCTTTCCCTAGAATGTAAATCAATGTACTGCATCCTTCATGGAAAAAAATCTTGCTATTAAAAAAAAATTTATCTGAACTGAATCATCGGCTTATTGATGTAGGTATTTCATATTCTGGCTCAAGCTTCTCATCTTGTCATGGGCTAATAACAAAGTTTACCAGCATTTGTGTGGACTACACTTTGAGTATACCTCTCAGTGTCCGTATGTTGATTCTGTCTTCAAAGATAAATAGCAGAACAACTTTATTGACTTTTTCTTACATGAATTCTGTATTATGATGTTTTTCATGTCTTTTTTGCATTTGGCTGGTAAAATAAAGTAGGATTGCAATAGTTGGGCTCTGCATTAGGATTGTGTATGTTAGAACTCTAAGATCCCAAAGTTTCAGGTTGAGAATGGTGATACCCCACAGCTAGTTGGAGGCAGTCAAGGTAGGAGCTTAAGTATTTTGTGTCCTAGTCTTCATTTTCTTCTCCTTTGTGTTGAAAA